TCAGTAAAAAAAGACATTGCCATATGCTGAATCATTACTTTGGGAGTGACAGAGTTTCTTGAACATGGGATTTAGTGTTAAATGGGCTAATTACTGCCCTTAGAATGGGTCAGGAGGTTAAGTTTACTACGTGGTTTAGTTTACTGATCACATTTACCCGATTCACTTCTAGCATATTTCATGCTTTGTTTCGCCTTTTTTGATTGTCTTAGAACAGCTTTTTTTATACTCTTCCATGCTGGTGTATTATGTACTTTAAGAATCGGTCTGTTATCAAGTAGATTTATCAACTAAATGGTGGATAAAGCTATGATTTTATTTATCTAATTTTTTTCCACTTGGTTGCCGCTAATTATCTTTTTAGTTTGTCTAAGGGCCATGATAGTGTAGTATATTCGACCTTGCGTTTTAAGAGTCGCATGTTATCGTATTTTCAATTATCCCAAGACTATCTTGTGGTACTCGGAGTCTTTTAGTTTTCTACGATACCTAAAATGAATTATCTAGTCTTTATGCGTTTTATTAGTTTTGGTGTCAGACTATTAGCCTAAAAATTTCAAGTCAGTTCGTCGCACATTCATCCACCTAGTGAATCAAGGAATTTTCTTGCTCATCCATGTGTTCAAACTTTTTTATTACGATAAATTCGACTATTTAGCCTCTCCACCTGGGGCCTCGCTTGCATGGATATTTTCGTGGATGAGGAAACTAAAAATGCTCGCTACGAGAAGATCTGCTATCTTGGAGAGGGACAATTCGCTAATGTATTTCTAGCCAAGGATCTTAATAGAGGTGGTTATCTGGTGGCCATTAAAAAGGTAGGTACCTCTTACTACATTTAAATATTATGCTATGCTCAAGGCGAAGTTGTATAACCATTAATTATGAGTATGGATATTAAGCTAGTTTAGCTTTGCCCATTTGGCTTAATTTTCATTACCTGATTAATTAAAGCGAATAACAATTTTATTTATTGTCTGCTTTGACCATGTAGTACTTTCATTGGATTTACTGCAAATATTTGATCACTTGAGTCAGGAAAAGGCACAAAATAACTAATATTTGTTTCGCATCGTTTCCTTAACTTGGACAGAGCAACAGGAAGATCTTGCATATAATAGCCAGTCCTTCCTCTGCCATTATAATTTCTAGTATTGGGCTGTCGATTTGGTGCTACTATGTTAGAAGGCGCAGCACTTATTACGCTCATAGGGTCTCCATGATGCCAAAACGGGTTCAAAATCAAACTATACGACTAAATGAGACTGCGAAAAAACACGAAGCTACACCATTTTGATCCTTACATTAACGATAATAAGAATATGTTTATGATGATTCTAGAGTTAAATCTTTGTATAAGATGTTTCTAAAGAATTTCAGATTTCTTTGTGCAAAACTGTTGCGATAGTACCATGCTGTTCATAATTTATCCCCAATCTGATTTACATGGGGAGAAAATAGTATAATTATAGGATATATTTTATGAAAACTTTGCAAAACTTTTTGATTTTTTTTAAACAATCCCTTCTTGATTAGCCTACTAACTCGAATCCGTTATAGCTTGATGCAAAAGCGGACAATCGCCTTTTTTGAGTTCGGTTCCTATATGTACTTAATATCGTAATAAGAACTAAAGTTAAGACTGAATCCTTTCTATATAGGGAAAAACCGGGTTTGGAAGAATCCCTTAATACAGTGGTTCCCAAACTTTTCGTAGTCGCGGCGCCCTTTTTGAATTAACATTTTTCCATTGCGTCCTACCCCAAGTATGACTATTCGTAAGTAAGAGATAAAAATAAATATCATCATTATTATTTTTTATTAATTAACATTAAATTAATAATTAATGTAATGGATGAGCATGCAAATCACTGGACATTTTCTCACATCGTGGAATTAAACTGGACACGGCCACCCTCATTTCCTTTTTCACGTTGATTTTGCTCCATTCTTGCTTTTTATTACAGCTACCGTTGAAAACCCAGCTTCGCACAAACATGACGTCGAAATTGCAATCAGAATCAGCTGAGCCTTATCACTTAGAAAGGGATATTGATCTTTTATTGAAATCCAAAATTCTGTCAATTCCATGCTGCCAAATTATGCTTTCAAACTGTTATCGCAAGATAACTCGATAAGATTCTCTTCTTCTGCAGAAGTAAATTCAGAAGGGATACTAGTGTTAAATGGATCTTCAATCCATGCAAACTTATCCAAATTTAGAAGTTGTTTGACCTTGTTTTCGCAACTAGGTCATATTTGTAGGAAGACTTAGGAGAACGCACCTTGTCCATAGTTCATTGTATGCATCATTAGTTCCAGAGTAGGACCGTTGACGTGGTACATCCCTAGACATTTCGCTGGCATCTTAGTCGGCATCGTCAGTAAGTCTCGCAATTCGTTGCACCATATTACAACTTGTTAAAGAGACAAGACTTGTCTCTTGACGGACGAAAGCTTAGAACCTTTTCACTGGAATCGAAGGAGATTGCCTTGGAAACAGCGTTAGCATGAATCTTTCAGTACAGCTAATCGACAGCTCGTCAAAAGGAATCCGCTTTCGTCTTTTAGTGGAGCCGACCTTCGAATCTCTTCACCCAACACTTTCACTGGAAATGGAAGTAAGCTCAACAATACCAGTCCTTAATCAGCTTTTGTAACATAAATATATTGTCTCTTCGACGAGTTGTAATATGGTGCTACGAATGGCGGGACTCACTGATGATGCCGACTACGATTCCGGCGAAACGTCTTAGAATGTACCACGTCCACGGTCCTACTCTGGAAATGATGATGCATACAATGGACTCCGGACAAGGTGCGT